GGATATATCTTGACGTATGGCTCAGTCTAGTACGACCATGACTCACAAACGACACATCGTTATCGATGTTGACGTCAATGTAACTAAACAATGATTTGAAGAAATACACCAAGTCTCTGACTTCTCGATCATAGGTTAACGGTAGCAGATCTAATGCTAATAACCGTTCTCTGTACGACAGTTCGCCTCGCTTTGTCATTGTTATCCACCTAGTCGCTCTTCTTTGCACTTTTTCAACATGTCTTGAAATCTGGACGCTATTAACCGGTGACCATACCTCTGTAGCATTACACAGCTGGGACTCGACCAACGATAAATATAAAGTTCGTCTGACTTTCATGTCCATCAATTTGGTACAAATTGTTCTAAGTACGCCTAACATTTTGTTGGAAGTCCACCTTATCACAACCCGCACACCCGATTACCTATATATACATGAACTTACGGTTACAGCTTAATAGCTGGCCTCTGTAGCTCAGTTGGTTAGAGCGCTGCAGCGGAATCGCAGGGCCGTAGGTTCGATTCCTACCAGAGGACCTTGTGCTGCATTTTTCGCAGTCGTTCCTGGTTAGGTCTTAAAATGTATATATTCTCACTTGGATTCCAAACCCTAACATTCTAATATTAATTCCACCAAGTGAAGTGCAGAATCTAAGTCATGAAGTCCACCTTATCACAACCCGCACACCCGATTACCTATATATACATGACCTTACGGTTACAGCTTAACAGCTGGCCTCTGTAGCTCAGTTGGTTAGAGCGCTGCACCGGAATCGCAGGTCCGTAGGTTCGATTCCTACCAGAGGACCATGTGCTGCATTTTTCGCAGTCGTTCCTGGTTAGGTCTTAAAATGTATATATTCTCACTTGGATTCCAAACCCTAACATTCTAATATTAATTCCAAGATCTTTTTCCCTATCTACTCGAGTCCGGTTTTGGCTCCCAAGAGTGTAGTCATGAATGATAGATCGCTACACAGCACGGTAACTGCAATGCTTGAAGCCACAAGTGACTGGTCCATGAATATTGACAATGGTTTAATCAATGGAGTAGTTTTTATTGATTTAAAAAAAGCTTTTGACAATATCGATCACCAAATTATGTTGCAAAAGCTAAGAAACTATGGTATTGATCAAATGAGTTTAACCTGGTTTGAATCTTATCTTACCAACCGAACTGAAAAGTGCCGTGTTAACGACCAATTGTCAAATTCTGCCCCGGTGACTTGTGTTCCCAAAGGTAGTAACCTGGGGCCCATACTTTTTCTGATCTATATAAATGACCTTTCGAATTGCTTGAATCATGCTATACCTAGAATGTTCGCTGATGACACGAGTATATAAGTTATTCAGCAAACACAACAGGTGAGCTCCAAAATGTAATAAACTCTGAGTTAAAAAAGCTTAATAGCTGGCTTATTACTAATAGATTAAGTCTAAACATTGTTAAAACGGAGTTTATGGTAATAGCATCTCAGCAAAAATTAAGGTCCATAGATAGCGAAATAAATATTAGAATCAACGAAAATGAAATAACTAGGGTTGAATCGGTGAAATCCTTGGGAGTTTATATTGATAAACATCTTACTTGGCATGATCATATTGATAAACTATGTAAGAAAGTTGCATCTGCTATTGGTGCACTAAAGCTTGTTAGATCGTTTATAACTATAGACGCATCCATACAAATATACCAAGCGCTCATTCAGCCTCATTTCGACTATTGCTGCACGGTATGGGATGGCCTTGGGGAAACACTCTGTACTAAATTACAAAAATTGCAAAACCGAGCAGCGAGAGTCATCATGAGATCTGCGTTGGGATAACTTCTCATTAAGACGACAAAAACTTAAACTTGGTCTTATGTTTAAAACACTTAAGAGTAATGTTCTCAGTTATTTACAAGAATTCTTTTCCATTCGCGGAACTGGGTATAACCTAAGAAATTCTGAAATGAGGCTGAATTTGCCTAAGCCACGAACAAATTACTTAAAACGAAGCTTTTGTTATAGTGGTGCACTATTGTGGAATAGCCTTCCTCAAGAAATAAGAAAGCTTCAAACACAGGCTAAATTTAAAAAATGCTGTGCTGAGTGGTTATATTACTACCTTAAAAAATAAGCAGAAACTCTTGACGAAGGGCCTTCGCTCGAAACGTCGAGTTTCTGCTTATTTTTTAAGGTAGTAATATAACCACTCAGCACATCATTTTCACATTGGTACTTTTCAACTGAAAAGATCAACTAGTGGCTAAATTTAAGTGTGAATTGTACACGATACGTGTACATATACGAAGAGTTTTAAAGGCCTTTCCACGTCGTGCTTCTTGCGAAAGCAAGTATTACCTGAAAATACAATAGCAGAATCTACTAAATTATCGTATAACATCGGAATTTTAGCCCCAATATCGATATTTTCCCGCCATATTTATCCTTGCCATAAGACAACGTCGCCATAGTAACCACAACAAACTCGTTACCAGTTCATTGCATCACACATCGATCGCCCTCTATATAAGCGCCCTGGACGTTAAGCCGGTTTTCCACTTGCGAATTTTTTCGCGCGAAGCGAATTTTTCTTTTGTCTTTATCGCAAGTGGAAAACCGGCATTACTCTCGACGAAGCGCGCGAGAGAACGTCTGCGAGTTGGATGAAGATTCCTTGTTCTGGTCACGTGGATTTTCCCCAGATTTGTGGAAAGGTCTATGATTGGACAGTTCTTTATTTGAATAATATTGAATAATATATGACAAATTAAGATATTTCTTTTTATTTTTATTGGTTAATTGATAATTAGCATGCGTTTAAAATAACAACACGATTATTTTAAATTCGGAGATTTCCTCAAGAATCAAGATTTCCTTCGGGGCATACAAAGGTTTGAAAGACTTGAAATATAATCTGAAAAACGATACACCAGAAATATATTGCATATATTTCTCGATGAAGAGATATGTTTTGAATGCGAACAATTCTGAACGATGATCATAGCCGGCAAGTCCGGTGGTCAAGCTCAGTTATGAATTGTCAATTTCCGTCCGATAGTTTGTTGTATTTTATATATTTGTCAGCATTGTTCTCTGAGTGTCCAAACACTAGAATTTTATCTTGATTTTCTTAACTTCGATACAGCACAAAATTAAACGCAACAGATTTAATATATTTCAAGTCTCAAACTTTGTATGCCCCGAAGGAAATCGTTTGTCATATATTATTCAAATAAAGCACTGTCCAATCATAGGCCTTTCCACAAATCTGGGGGAAATCCACGTGACCAGAACAAGGAATCTTCATCCAATTCACAGACGTTCTCTCGCGCGCTTCGTCGAGAGTAACGTCTGTACACATGCTACGTGTCCTCAAATTTCCCTAGATGTTCACGTCATGCTTAAGTAATGACACTTCCTAGCAAAATGGCGTCCTTACCGGAACTCGGTTCCGGTCGGTTAGTTCCAGCCGGAACCCCGATTTTTCATAGTTCCGGTTCCTGCCGGAACTAATAAAAAAAAGTATGGCTGGAACAGGAACTCTGTCGTTTTCAGAGAGATAGAATATCAAACGTTTTTGTGTCTAACAAAAGTTCACAGTATGAAGAAATTTGGACTACGCAAGGGAAATGTACACAATTAACACTTCATTATGACGTTTAACGTTTGTCAATCTTTTTATTCTAACATTTACGAGCTCTCTCCTTGATGACTTGAAGTGTCTGCCTGTCTGGCAACGGAAAAAGTAACATATGACTATATATGGCTTAATAAGTCAGTTCCGTTTCCGGCCGGAACTTCAATAGCATCATTTGTTGAATGTTTAAAGTTGGTGAAAGCAATTAAAGTTGTAGAAAAGGTGTTGAAAGCACTTTTGAAAGCAATGACGTATTACCAAATGACGAATATAAATCACGCGAGCGACACTTGCTAGGAAGGTGGCGACCATGGGACAACTTTTTTACTGAAGTTACTCATCTGTCCATACCACGGTTAATAGAATTCTATTAACCGTGATTTATCATAATCGTATGCAAATTTTGTATAAGGGAAAGGTAGTCAGTCTCAACCAGTTATGTCCAAGATTGTAGCTCTTTAAACAATTGTGGTAGCGTCGCTCCTTGGCTCACCTTCTGCACCCGTCTGGTACCATTACGATTATTTCAACTACATAGACAGTGGATTCTAGACTTGTGTTTTAAAAGATAAAGTTTTGTCATTTTAGAATTGTTCTAATTGACAGGACATCCTTACATCCTATACAACCCTCCCTGTTTTCTAGATAATACTAGTGAAGCCCTCCATGTTTGGATTAGCCATTTAGCCCCCTTCGCATTCTAAATTGATTATTTATGCACGCAAATCCCAACCATTTTGTACAACTCACCAAAATCACCATAGACCTTGTGGCTCTGACATACGAAATCTGAAAAATATTGTCATACACAAACCTAATGCCTGTATTACAAAGTCTGTAATGTCTTCAACATCAACTTTAAAAATAGGAAACAATTTTCAAAATACTAGGCTCAAAATCGCTCATCTTAATATCCGTTCACTTAAAAGCAATACACATCTTACCCAACTCAGAGATTTGGCGCGTAGAGAAAATTTTGACATTTTAACAATATCTGAAACATGGCTAAACACTAGTGTTTCGTCTGCCGAAGTAAGGATAGACGGATATAATCTTTTCAGATTGGATCGTCTTAATAAACGCGGCGGTGGTGTATGCACGTACGTTCGCAAAGAACTTAAATCATCTGTTTTAAAATCCTTAACTTTCATTTCCGAAGAAAATTTCCATCAACTATGGATAAATGTCCAGTGCCAGAAATCTAAGTCGCTCATAATTTGTGTAGCCTACCGACCACCTGACTGTCCTCTGCACTGCTTTGAACATACATTAAAACCAAATTACATGGAAGCTCTTGTATTAAACAAACCAATCGTGATCCTATAGGTGATCTAAATTGTGATGGATTAAAGGATAATTGTGTAGAATATAAAATTATGGATAGATTTTTAAATGAAATGAACCTCACTCAACTTATTAAATCGCCAACGAGGATCACTGATGCAACTCAATCATTGCTAGATGTTATCCTAGTGTCGTCGAAGTCAATAGTGTACCGAAGTGGAGTATTACTTACATCAATCAGTGACCATCTACTTGTGTATGCTGAACTTAAGATTAAGTCTCCTAAGCAACCTTCGCAATACATTACAGCACGTAGCTTTAAAAATTATGTACCGAATTATTTTGCAGCTGATCTTGCGGACAAATCAGATTGTCTCCTATCTATTTTTGACGGCGACGATGTAAATGCTAAACTAAACATTCTTAACTATGCGATCCAGTCTACACTAGACGTTCATGCTCCAATTAAAACAATTAAGATCCGTAACCGATCATGCCCATTTATTACCCAAGACCTCAGAAACCTTATGAAAGAGAGAGATCGATTACATCAACGATTTCTACGTACGCGGGATATTATAGACTGGGTCAATTATAAGAGCTACCGGAATAATGTGAAGAGAGATCTTAAGAAGGCGGAGAATGAGTATAACTCTAATGAAGTACGGCAACATAAGGATAATCCGGGGTCTCTATGGAAAATAGTAAACCGTCTTATACCATCAAAAGGAAAAGAAAGACAAATCTATAAAGGAGACCATAAATCTCTTGCAAATGATTTCAATCAGTTTTTTTCATCGGTTGGTGAAAATGCAGCAAGGGCGTCTTCTCATCTAGCAGATACTAACAACATCAATCTACGAGAATCAATCGAATCAGTCGTTATAACTGAAATCGACCAATTTAAGTTTAGAGCCGTAACTTGCCACGAAGTACGTCGAGTAGCTTTATCGTTACCTCTCAATAAATCATCTGGTCCGGATAAGATTAACCCACGGATCATAAAGGACTGTCTTCCGGTCATTTTGGGTCCTTTAACGGAAATTATAAATTGTTCCCTTCGTACTTCTACTTTTCCTCTGGCATGGAAAAAGGCAGAACTTATTCCTATTCATAAAGAAGGTGACCACGAGGTACCCTCAAATAATCGACCAGTTTCCCTTCTTGTAGTCGCATCTAAAATCTGTGAAAGATTAGCTCTTGAGCAATTTAGCTGTTACCTAACAAGCAACAACCGACTATCCTCCCACCAAAGTGGAAATAAAAAACTTCACTCGACAGAGACATTAAACGTTTTTATCACTGACACCATCTTAAAGGCCATGGATAAACAGAAACTCTCAGCTCTAGTGTTGCTTGATCTCTCAAAAGCATTTGACAGTATAAACCATCAGAGACTACTTCATAAACTATCAAATGTCGGAGCATCCAAATCAACAGTAAACTGGTTCAGAAGCTACTTAACAGACCGTTTCCAATCAACCCGTATTAACTCTACGTTATCAGATCCATTACCGATAACTTATGGTGTACCTCAAGGGGCCATTTTATCGCCATTGCTCTTTTGTATATACCTTTACGATCTACCCTGTGCATCTTACAATGGTGATCTTGAATCATACGTTGATGATACGAAAACTTTGTTATCGTTTCCTTTAACGGAAGCTGACACTGGAATTAAAAATCTGGAAGAAGACCTACATAAAATTGCGTCTTGGTGCTGTGAAAACAATCTTTTGGTGAATCCAGATAAAACAAAATTCATGATCATTGGAACCAGGCAGCTGATGAACGAACTTGATGTCAATATTTCGATCTCTTTTATGGGGAAGATTCTAGAACCTGTTGATTTTGCCAAAGATCTAGGACTTCTAATGGACAGCACCTAAGTTACGATAAGCACATATCGAATCTAGTGTCGTCCTGCCTTTATAAACTGTGCCAGATAAACAGAGTTAAAAATAATTTTGACAAGGGAACACTTACAATGATAATCACTTCATTAGTGATCAGTAAACTGCTCTACTGTTCCACTGTATGGTCAAATACAACATGCACTAATATAAAGAAACTTCAATCTATTCAAAACTTTGCATGTAAAATAATCACAGGATCCAAGAAATACGATCATGTAAGCCCATTACTCCAAAATTTTGAGTGGCTTACAGTTGACAAATTACTCTATTTCCGTGATGCCGTAATGACTTTTAAATGCATGAACAACTTAGCGCCGAAATATCTTTGTGACATGTTTGAGAAACGATCTTGTATTCATAATCGGTCTACGCGGAACTGCAACTCAATACAGATACCATTGTTTAAAACAGCGTCAGGGCAACGGTCATTTGCTTTTAGAGGAGCTTCAATTTGGAATAACTTAGACATTGAGCTAAAGAAATGTACATCACTTAAGACATTCAAAAGTCAACTTAAAGAACACTTACTGTCTACTTAGACTATAGACTACTTCCTATTTTAGACTATTAAAAACTTAGATATCAGTCATTTTTATTCCTAACTTTGTAGAAACTGTAAATATTTTAAAATTGTAGTTTTTATAAAATAATTTTGTAAATGGGTTCTGAAAAACCCTTTTGGGAGAAACCATAAATTTTAATAATAATAATAATAATAATCGAGAATCACTTGCAAGCGAAGTGTTAAACACGGGAAACTTCTTGGAGGTGTTGAAGTACTTGTCTGCATACGATGTTGCCATCCGTGACCATCTTGAAGAGATGCATCCGCAAGAAGCATGAAGCAATAGTAAAGGTTGGAGGGCGATCAGGAACCAACGCAACCAAAATGGTGAAAGGTCGTGGGTCGAAAATCACGTTTCTTAGTAACAAGACGCAAAACAACGTCATTGATGTCATCGGAAAGGAGATTACCGGTGAGATAGTAAAGAGAATCCATGAGTGCAAAGCTTGGGCTTTGATAGCTGATACCACGCCTGACGTTAGCCACCATGAACAGCTTAGCATTTGTGTCAGAATAGTTGATCGTGTCGGTTACTGTTCTGAGCATTTGTTGTGTTGCAAAAGAGCACCTGGTGCAACTGCACAACAGCTCTACGACACCATTGTAGACGCACTAAAGTCTCGAGGTATTACCTTTGGTAAAATAGTTGCACAGACGTATGATGGAGCTTCAAATATGAGTGGTTATTATAACGGGCTTCAAGCAATCTTTAGAGATGAAATCGGTAGTAATATAGTATACACTCATTGTTATGCTCACACTCTCAACTTGGTCTTGTCGGATTCTGCCGGTACCGCCATTAACGTCATCTCTTTGTTCAGCGATCTGGAGAAAACGTACACCCTTTTCAGTCAATCTGAAAAAATTCACTCGATGTTTGAATCTGCTCAGAAAGTTCAGAAGCTCAAAGTCCTTTCGTTGAAGCGTTGAATACAGTCCGTTGGAATTCTCGTGAGTTCAGCCTTGAAGTCTTTCTTTTACGATACGATTGCGTTATGAAAGTTCTTGAAGACGTTGTTGCAGGAACTTCATTTTCGAGCAAGCAGAGAGCAACTGCCGGGGGACTTTTTGAATCGTTCGAGAAAAAGCAAATTATGGCAACAGCTTATCTTTTCCGTGAAATTTTCGTAATTACGGGCCCTCTAAGTCGATACTTACAAAGTGTTAATGTAGATCTTGGTAAAGCGTTAGCTATGATCGACAGCTCTCTTTCTCAACTTCAAAGATTACGTAGCGAACCAGAAGAGATAATTAGAATTTGTGACAATGAGTGCGGTCCAGTTGAATGGAAAGAAACCAGGGTGAGAAGTCGAAGAGTAATGGATGGTGAGATTGCTAGAGATGAACCAGAGGCGACACCCCTTGCTCACTGGAAACGCGAAACATTCCATGTTGCTGTTGACACCGTCATCAATTCGATGAGAAATCGTTTCGAGAAGAACCGGCCATTATTGCAGTCGCTTGCACTGTTTTCTCCAAGTGGCTTCCCCGAGCTTGTGGAGAACTTCCAAAATGCCCGCGACTTGGAAGCCAGCATAACCAGTTTCTGCACGACATATCGCATCGATCCATCGCGCTGCGCCGAAGAGCTGTTCACCTTTGCACCTTCATTCTCGAAGTTCAACCGCTCTCTTTTCGTTTTTCCCAAAGAAAGAAAGGAGGATTTTGACGAAGTCGATGGCTCTGATTCTGAAGAAGAATATTATGATGAGAACGATCATGATGACTCAGATCAAGATGAAGAATCAGACGAAGACACCTCATACGACACAGCTCGGAACAAAGATGTACGATCTTTTCTTGAGGCCCTCAGAATCCTGTCGCATCCTGATTACCACCTGGTCGATGCATATCCCACACTTTGTAAAGTGTACGCGATTGCAGTTGCAATCCCCATCAGTTCTGCCACTGCTGAGCGCTCATTCTCAGCACTTAAGAGAGTGAAAACTCGAATTCGGGCAACCATGTTGCAAGGACGATTGGAAGCCTTACTTTTGATGGCTGTTGAGCGGGGAATTTTACATTCTCTGGACAAAGAGCGCATTATTGACGTCTTTGCAAAGACGTCAATGCAACTATCAAAAGCACTTTTGTAAATTAACATTTTTTCTAATGAAACTTTGTCCTTATTAATTCGTAGAACTATAAAACTATGTGAACATTAATCAATAATATCTCTCGCACACAGTTTTGTTCAGTCGTTGACCAATTTCCTATTTGGTGTATATCCACATATCCAAAAAAACTTATACCTTTACTTCTCAATGCATTTGCAGTTTATTGATCTAAATATTTTGCCAAAACGCAAGAAATGGCTTTTCAGGCACTATTATTTCCAAATTTTCCAAGGGCACGCCCCAGACCCCCATGCGCATCTCGTGTCTATGACGCTCGCCATATGCAGATTGCAAGGACGAAAGGGGGCGCCAAATTCCCAGCTGGCCTCCCCTGGCGAACACGGGCCAGCACGCCACTGTGGTACACACAGGCTGGCAATGGTCCATAGTGGAAAGTTCGTCACTTTAGCCGGAGATCTTCCGCGGCAGGTCAATTTGAAAAAGTGCTACTGCGGTAGTTTATTGCGGCAGGCCAACTTTGAAAATTCCGCATGCGGTAGAGTTTTGCGGTATTTTAGCAAGGAAATTCCTATTGCGGAAGAATATTGCGGAATATATATACAACATTGACTTTGTCACGGGAATTCGGAAAATAGGCAATGTTTTCATGAGCGACTGTTCATCGTTAGTTGCAAGCGACGCTATTTGCCTGAAAATGCCTGATTTTCAAATTCTCCCAAAGCGGGAAAACAGCCAAACATGTGACATTGAAACACTATCACAGTGCATTGAAATTAGAAATGGCTTCAACTCCTTCAAGTATTTATGCTGAGGAAAAGCAAAGTGAGTCAAGTAAGTAACGACAATTAACGATTATTGAAAGTGCTGAATATTTGTAATTGTGCTATTTATTTAAAATGGGTTTTAAATTAATGGTTTTATATGCCCCTGTATATTAATATTTTAATATAAGAATAGACGAATAGTTCCATGATTTACGTATATTTATTATATAATGAATATTGAATAGTACACAATTTATGATCATGTTTATCAATATTAATGAATGAATATTCAATAACTCATTAATTCCAGTCTTATAAATGAATAATGACAGCCTTGTGATTCAAGTTTGTGTTGGACTGTATTTATTACTCTTTCATATTAATAATAATGATATGCCATATGACACTATATTACAATTGCCAGGCGAACACTTGCAAAATATTAACATACAATATTATTATTGCGAAGTTTTACAGTGTATAATTAAACTATTGTTATGAAGTTGTGGCACTGGCAACATTTCTTTTAATATACTGCTTTTATAGTTTGTGTCTCTTGTGAGAATGAATATTCAGGAAGTCATTGTTGTTATTCCTGCACAAAACCCTGCCACAGCTTCGAGCCGTGTAGCATTCCAGGGCCAGAGGAGGGTTATGGGGCTATGGTACTGTGTTCCAAATGCCAAGGTATTTATTGTAAATCAGTTTTTTACATAGTATTACATCAGTTTAATTACTGTTGCTGATTGGCCCAATTGTAATTGTCAAAAAATATTCATTTCAATTAAGGTGAAAAACAGCTACGAAAAGGCAAACTGGTATTGCAAATTTTTTCCAAAAAGTTGAATCAAACCCCAAGAGATCTCTGTCACCTTCATTAGCACCTGGTGTAACTGGGAAAAAGTTACGAACAAAACTTGATTTGCAGCCACCATCGAAGTTGCCTTGTGTTTGTATGACTTGTTTCAAGTACGTTATTTGATCAAAGTTTCAAAAATCATCCTCTAAGATAGTATTAACTCTTTTCTGCTCGCAACTCGATTAACATATCAGACCATATCATTCTGTAATATTTACCGAATAAGTGATGTGTCTGAGTGAATGAGTGATGCTGTCACAGAAGGGATGCCAATTTTAGAAACAATTTTAAAAATGTCTATACAATTATTGACAAAGGGATTTGGTAGCAACCCACAATTGTTGTTTATATACAATTAGATGAAACAGGATTTTTATATGAATTGTGAATTCAAAGTACATTTTTAGTACAACTCTTTAACCCTTTTAGTGGCATTGTGCATTGCATTCATATGACAGTTTTTTAATCTGTATAATGTCAGACGATTTTACTTTTGCAAGAAAATTGCTTGCACCAATGATTTAAAGAAATATCACATCAATAAATGTTAGGGTTTTGTATAATCAGATGTAAAAATTTGAATATATTGATTTTCCAAAAAAAATCAGAACTGCAAACAACTGCCTGCAGCTTTGTTTCCATGAACCTTTCAATTCCCTCAAGTCTACCTCAACTTGCTTTCATGTTTTTAGCAATATTAAACCAAACTTCTTTTTCAGTGCTGATAAATCCATGTCCCCTTATAACTATTATCTTTGTCGAAGTGATAAGCAAACAAAAGAAAGGCATCTTTCAAAAGCACATAGTGGGATAAAAACACATCTTGTCCAATTTGTTGATGCTACTGCTCCACTTGCTTCAGAAGCCTTAAATGCTTACAAAAGTATTTGCCTGAAAAAATTGGAAATCACAAAGGAAACAATTAATTCCAGTCAAAGTGAAGATGGTCTTTTGTCACCAACTCATCAAAGCTTAGACAAAACATTGTCAATTGGCCATAGTAACCTAGAAGAAAAGATGGATGTGGTAGTTTCTATGTTGAAAGATTTATCCACCAAAATCGACCAGCAAAAAGTTCCTTCGGCTACAAGTACTGCATCTGATATGTCAATTCTGGTTAATGAACTCACCACAGATAAATATATGCAAAGCAGCATTTCTTGTGTGGACTGGAGTAAGATAGAGAATATAATCCAATTGACTGAAAAAATCAAGAGTGTCAGATTCTTTGCCGGTGCCGAAAGTTTCCAGAAAGGATGTGTCAGGTGTCAACTGTGTTTTGAATACCTTTCCTCACGAGACAACCATTTGAAAAGACACGATCCGATTAGAATTGAAGAGGATGGGCATTCTGTTGCATCACATATAAAGAAGTAAAGTTATATTACACATGATTGTATTATATAGGCCTACTGCAAATTGTATATATTTTTATTATGCTGGATAATACAACTATCATAATTATAATATCAATTCAGTTTCTAACTTTTTAATTATCAAAGTGTCATATAAACTTCCAGTTTTGTGAATTAATATTAATTTCATCAATGGTTATATGAATCAAGTGTTGGGTTTATGGGTATATATCATTGATTTAATTAATATTTTAATTGGTCATGGTCAACGGTTCAAATATTTTTTTGCAGATATGGTAATAATATATCTAGTGGTTTATTCCTTGAAAGTGCCGAAGATGTTGGTAAGATTATCGAAGGCAAAAATGACTGTTGGTACCGCTTGAAGAATCGGATAAAGAACCACCTAAACTGCACTGGTGACAATGCAAAAACGCACCTTGAAGCCCTTAAGGTAAGATTACATAAACTTTAAAGTAGCTACTGTATATTAAGGAAAGTTTTTTTTTAAAAAATGAAATTAGTTAAATTAAGATGAGGAAATTGATAATTACTACTGTCGTCGATAAATATACATACTGATGGTGGTTTTCCCCCGCTTTTCTTAGAGATTTGTAAGCAAATTTCAGTTGTACCTTCAGTGATAGTTGTTAATTTTATTATAAGGCAGAGCACTCAAATAACAAATTGGCCAAAAGGGGTTTAAACGTATCAAAGAATTTAGTGAGAGTGGCGCTGTCTGTTGTTGAGTCCAAGTCTGCTGCAATCCACTTTGAAACGCAAGTGGCAGCTCACATTGCGACCGGCTCAGATATGGGAGATATTGGACATAGCTACAAACAATTCAACGAGATTCTCAAAGCAGCTGAAGTATATATCGACAAAGAAATCGAAAAGTATCTGCTTACACCTCTCTCAAACACATTACTACCACCACATTTCTGTGGGTTGGCAGACAAGTCAACTATCCATCGTATTACTAATCAAGGAGTAATTATTGCTAGCATGTTGAATGGCATAAAGACGGCAATTCTTGTCTAGGCTCCAGCAGTATACCACGCATTTGACAACGGCCAAGATGATTCAGGAGGTGTGACTGGTGCCTGTGCCGCAGAATTAGCCGAGAGCATGTTTACGACCATTACAACTGCTTATCCTGGTATGATCAACATAATAGGAACTTCCTGGCAGGGGACGGTGTTAGACGGCCAATATCAGCCGAAAGGTTTTGCTAATAAGCTTTGGGATCTTCTCGAAAAATCACAATGCACGTTCACAGATGTAATATGGGATCCACCTCATTGGGTGAATCTAGCCGCAGAAGATGTATTTGAAGGGAAAATTGGTCATTCAAAAGAATTTTTGAAACGGCTAATCACTAGAAGCGCAACTATTCACCAAATATTTCAAAGGGGAAAAAATTTGGCTCAGGCCAAAACTCAAGCAGAGACTATGAATTGCAAGCTTCAGTTAACAAGCCGCACCTGTGCAACGCGTTTCGCGACGTCGCAGATTCATGAGTTTCGAAAACTTATCTCTTCAGCTCATGTGTATATGGCAACGTACGAGGAATTCCATAAAAATGATCCCAAATTCGAGTTGAAGACGTGGGAGATCTGTGGACAGGATTTCGTTGCAGATATGTGTGGGTGCGTTGACGTTTTCTTGCCATTGATTACCTTTCTTGTTCAGTTACAAGGTCTCAGTGTTCCTATTTGGAAAGCCTCAGTGTGGGTTCCCAAAGTCACGGCAGACTTAGATGAATTGGTGAAACTACGTGTAAATTTTCCCCCTGTAAGCTGTTTCCATCTGGCCTCTAATATTAGTGATATTAAGAAGAAAACCTTTCATGGGCAAAAATTAGTAGACGGCTGGTTGATAGTCGGAATCGAAGCTAATTCCTCCGGAGAAGGTCAGAAATTCTAACATGGAAGATGCGACAACTCCATGACGTCGAACGAGATCTTCGGAATCTTGCTAAGGACTTGTCCATCTCTTTGACAAGTCGTTTCGAGAAATGCGCATCGAATTTGCAATCTATACTTGCTTGCATAGATATTGATTGCATTGTAAATCTCTTGGTTGGTGTTCGAAAGGTCAGTGGCTACCCATCTCTATTGAAAGAAGAAGAGTTTGTTGAATTTGGTAGAAAAGATTTCAAACAATTTTTCAAGTATATTTGCTCCTTACAACACGTGAAGGAGCTAGCTGAGAACCATTTTACTGAATTGAAACTAAAGTGTGTCTACAGCGACGAGATCCTGACTAACTTAAAAAACACTTTGAAGATTATCCTGTGGACACCCAACCATGTCCATATACTTTCCCGATGGCTTAAGTTTATTACCACGACAGATAATGGTCAGGTGTGTTAATATTTGCTGTATAAACTATCCTAGTCTGTGCGCGCGTTCCGTGTCCTCAAACTACACATTGTTACTACACATTGTTATCAATTGTATGTTTTTGTTGAATGCTGTTTTGGAAAACCAAAGACATGGCTTTTAATTTTTGGTCTTCTTAAATCTTTAATAAGGTAAAGGAGCACTCGTTGACAACTGAACAAGACCATCTGGTGAAGTTGATGACGTTTAAACGAAAACAATCATCTCATTTCCAGGACAAGTACTATCTTCAAAACCTTTATGAAGCGACATTTCTCATGGATAACCAGAAAACAAACACTTTTGTGGTTTGGATCGATGAGAGTGAAGTGTACAGGTACGTCAATTATATATATAATATATATATAATATATATATATATATATATATATATAATATATATATATATATATATATATATATATATATATATATATATATATATATATATATATATATATATATATATATATATATATATATATATATTTATATATATATATTTATATAGTAGTTGGTTTTGTATTATTGTTTAATGGTACGTATGTATTTTATTGTAGATCATTTTATGTCGACGAGGTAGTATCTAAAATGATCGGCGTGGAAATGAGCATTGCCACAGATATTGCACTTGCCCTTGGCAGTACTGAGTCAATTGTCGAATCATTATACTCAGTAATGAAAAGTCAAAGCATGGAAGGTGGCCAGAGCAACAGCACTTTAGCTTTGAGGTATACTGTATTCGCCATATTTTTTTCAAATTGTATATTTACTATTGCGATCGTTGTCTAAAATCCTTCACCGCTGCAAAATGTATACATTCAACCTTTTCCGTTCAAATCGTTTGAAATTAGCCATTAATTAGGCTCTTTGTCAAATTAAACATTGAACGGTTATTTCGAGTGCGAACTATAAGCAGTTGCAACTGCTCTTAGTATAAGGTTTAAAGATGTATGTAATTTTCATCTCCATACCACTCCTCAACATTTAGTTCCATCTAGTCAAATATCCAATTTTTGTCAAATTAGTAAAATAATGTTCTTATTGCCAAATTTAGAACAAAAATTGATTGGTTAATGCCAACCGTAATTAAAGCTGATAAACTTGTAACTGGAATTGCACAACTATATCATGATGGCGACAAAAGTCACAATCTACCCAAGCATCGCTGGCCAATCTTGAGCTACAGAGCTACCTATGGCCCGGGAAAAGATTTGAGTAAAGTCATGACTAAGAAGACCACCGAAGGAGTTCGCTTACCGTTTCTTCTGTAAAGACTAAAATAATGTCGTTTTGTATATAATTATTTGTAGTTGATCGCTTACACGTACATTCTTTGAAATGTACATATAGTACTGTACTTATCAAGACTATAAAATGTGTAAAAAACTGGTTAATATATTAACCATACTGTATATAGTCACTTACGATACGTCTGCAAACGTTGCCATGTATAGTCTTTTTTCTGTCTAATTTTATGAACCTGCATGGTGAGAATATCAGTCAATGTCTCAATTGTATTTTTAATCAAACGATGCGTTAACCGACGCTGCGACGCACTTTATATAAATCACGACATCACATTAAGCTCATCATAGAGGTTTTATAGACACTAGAAAGCGGGGCAGGGTCGACTGGAAACCAGTCTGTATAGTGTGACAGTTGCGGTACCTTGATGACTTCAGTTTAACTGCGCTTGCGGAAGCCTACGTCTTCCGCAGCGGTAGTCTCCTGCGGAAGCGAAGACGAACTTTCCACTATGGGCAATGGTCTTGTGTTTTCCCATCCTAGGAATCCAAATATGTATCTGATAGTCCATCTGTATGCCACAGCCCTCAAATATCTACATATAAAAATCAAATCCACTGAACTAGTGTTTTTTCTATGCAGCAAAACATTAACCCATTATGATTTTCTATATGCAGCAAAACAGTATCCCAGACTGATCTTCCCTTGACAAGTAAAATTGTCTGGCATTAGATAGAGTAAACACTAAAGTAGGGCGCATTAATGGTTACAATGAATACATACTGATTGTTTTGTGTAGCTTATAATATACACGACTGCTTAAAATACATACGTGTTTCTGCCTTGATCACTTCTTTGCTTGTATGTTCTTCCTTGCCTGTCTTTTAATAATGGTCCAATATGTTCCAACACAACTGTCTTGGTCAGGGATCGATAGTCTTCAACCTGGGTTATGCATGCTATGTTCTCTAAGTGTCCAAACTTTTCCACTGCCTTATCGATTTCTGCACAACATCTATGTTCTCTCGTCCCGTTTAAAGAACTGGTATCGCACATGTTACAAGAGCACCTAAAATCGTGGGTCTCTATGAGTATGCATGAATACGAATTTCGTAAACTGTCCGAGTCTGACAGACTGCAGAACGAAGTTTGATATAAGAAAACGAGCTATACGCATTCACTTGTCACTGTTCAAAACTTATATAAGTATAATATATATAAAGAAGAATTTAACACATTTCGGCTAGGTATTTATACGGTACTGTGTTGAATTATTTATATTCTATAATTTAGCTAAATTATACATACCATTCGTTTGTGGGAATTGCGTTATCAAATCTCTCTTGAAGAGCACTGATACGAATGCCATCTATATCGACTTCGTCTTCGAATTCTTGCTCTATTTCGTCCTGCGTTAATATCGGCTCGTCTTCGTATGGTGCAAGAATAGACTCGGTGTCTCCCATATTTACTTGTACAGCTCCGCAATCGGAATCAGTATCGCTTTCGTAGTTTCGTATTCATCTTCTGAACTCAAATTGTTGTTAATAGGGGTTTCAGAGTCATCTGTAACGCTTTCTGGCATTGTAAAACCTCAAAAGAACCGAACGGTAGCGGCAATATAACGATTTCTGCAAGTTGTTTTCGACGGACCTTATGTAAAACGTGTTAATCCTTTGTTTACACACAGCACGACTCATTACTGTGACGTCACAGCGCGAGCCAGTTTTTCGCACGAGGGACCCATCTTGAAATACAAAATTCACTAACTTCTAGTTTGAATTTCGCATCGAGACTGGTATCAAAATGATCAGAAAAAATTAAATTTTAATAATGTGCAAAAATCTCACCATCGAAAAATTCGTTGCATAAGGCCTTTAAGTATTTGAGCTTCTCATCCAGTTTTACAGTGAACTGTTCAACATTACCTCTCGGGTGTCTATAAATTGATCCTATTATTATATTTTTTCCCTTTTCAGTTTCAATTTCAACCCAGCAGGATTCAACCTGGTCAATATCAATTTGTAATTCTGGCCTACTTATACATTTTAATTCTTCTGAAACATATAGAGCGGTACCACCTGCACTGGTTAATGAATCAACATGGAAAAAGTTATATCCTAACATATCAACATTAATCACACTATTTTTATTTAGTCGAGTTTCCGTAATAGCTATAACATCTAGTTTTTTTGAGAGTAAGTAGCGCATTTCATTTAACAGGTTCAAGTTTTTTGAAATACTTCTAATATTACAGTGAAATAATGATAGCGCCTTAGACCCTACATTTTCAAAAACATGGTTTATCGATTGAATAATAATTATATAGACATAGGAGAAGTAAGCATATTATCAGAGTCATTATCATCAGATTTATCTGGATTAGGAATGAGCTGATAAAGGTCTAAATCTGGATGATTTTCAAGTGACATACTAGAGACAACATTATTAAATTCAGTGTTGGTTAAATTAAAAAACGGAAGGTTCTGCATTTGTCCTATATTACACGCAACATTAGCCATTAAACCATATATAAAAGGTAAACAACCACTTATCTGTGTTAGTTAGATGTATAGTTATTTTCAAACTCGTGGAATTCTTCAACTCTTGTAAACACGTGAATTGGTGAGGAATCGGATTCACGAAGAAGTATTTTTCCATTCGCTGTCCAGATATATACTTAAAATGTTTATCCCTCTTAGGGACCGCTCATTATTTATTGTACAGGGGGGGATTGAGGAGAAACTGCGGGGGGCCTTCAAATTTTTCAAAACCTGAAAGGGGGGGGCTTTGAAAAAATACAGAGAGACGAAAGAAGGGGGGCTTTGAAAATATTTACCAGTTTGAAAAAACAGTAGTTTTAAAAAAGTATCACAAAACAACTTAACAACAAATAACAATATTTATAGACTTTAATATTCA